CTGAAGTCCCTTCCAGCTCTGAGATTGTGATTTTATGACTACATTGTGTGGTGAATATTGTTCTGGTAAGTATCCTCTTCAGAAAGATGCCAAGCACTTGCCTAAGCTGGACTTCTCTCTGCCATATATAAAATTAAGATAATAATAGCACCTACACCTCACAGGGGCTTGTTGTAAGGATCAAATGAGATAAAATATCTAAAGCTCTTTGCTAACTATAAAGTGCTATATACATGTTTCCTATCATCATCATTATTGTTAAACAGAATATTCTAGTTTCAAGTCTTCTTTACTAGGATTAATATTAATGAAGACCAAACAGACATAATTTTACCTACAGCATGGAGAGAGGTTATTATTAAGAACTTATAAATTAAGAGTTCTAGGCTCATAATCACCACAGATTAATGTCACTTCAAATTTCTGTTACTGTTTTATTTTTCCATCTGTCTAAAAGGGAAGGCATTACTACTCTTAAATGCTTTTATAATTAGTATTTTGGCCAAAGAATCCAAAAAGTTACAAGGATAATGAATGGGGCCATAAAGCATTTTGTAATATATAAAACAATACATAATAAATGTACAACAGTTATTCAATAAATACATTAGTTCCAGTCATGGTAACTGACCACATTCTTCTAGCTTCAATATAATCGAAAGAAAGTCATCATAGAACTATACAGTTATAGAGCTGATGAGAATTTTTCTCATCTTTAAGTAGGAATGTCTATATACAGTGAAGAAATTGTAGTAACAATTTAAAACTTTCCATGACCAGAATATTCTAGCAAAGACTAATTTAAACAAGAGAAAGGGCAGTGCATTTTTCTTCATGTTGGTTTATTATGGGCCAAACAATAGAACAAAACTCACTATTCACTAGGTGCCTTGAAAAAAGCCCATTTAAAAAAAAACAAACATTTCCACTGAAGGGGAAGTATTGGCAGGCACAAGTTAGAAGAGCTCAAACCCAGGGTATTTGGGATTCTGAAGCAAGCATGAAAATAAAAGGTGTGCAAGTGGCAAAGGATATAAGTGAATGCAATGTAAAGGAAGTCATTTGAACTGAGGAGGTGGAGAATCCTTCAAGACTTTACTTCATCTGACATCTTTGTATCTTTTGTAGTGGTAGGTACTAATTTGTGTACCTTACATATTTTGAGCAAGCAAACCATTACTAGAAAGGTACTCTGAACATTTCTCTGGTGATACTCGTCATATTGATATGAAAATCATACACAATGAAATGGGAAGAGCAACTGACTGCTCTAAATCTGTAAACACTCTTCCCAAAGTGGTTGCACCCAAACCAATACAGAAAAGCTAAATCTAGAAAAATATTTTTTGTGAAAGAAGGCCAAAACTCCTCCAATCTTCAAGATAAAGAATGACTAGGGGTTGGCAATGGAGGCAGATAGCAAGTGCATTGAAGAAGTCCTGACACTGGCCTTGTACTTTGAAGCATGACAATCACTAACAATGAAAAAGACAGTAAGATAGTCACTTAAAAATAGTTCTATATAATGCGAATTGTTTGTGCAAGTAAAACAAAAAATAATCTTGGAGAAAAATCTGAAACTATTTACATATTACTTAAAAGGGCCAAATGGACTGGTATAGAGTAAGTTTGTGAAATGAAGGGACTAGAAGATGCAGATATCATTATAAAAATAGTGACAGGATTAAATGAACACTGCCTTTAGAAGAGTCTCATAGAATCCCTGATTTTGAAAGGGTAAATTAACAAAACAGAAATCTTTCTAATTGTGGAAGCTTTAAAACTCCGTTTTTCATAAATGTAAATTTCATGTGAACCTCTAGAAAGAAATTAAGTGATAAGAGAAAGAAAGTAAGAAAGGAAGATAGGAAGGAAGGAAGGAAGGAAGGAAGGAAGGAAGGAAGGAAGGAAGGAAGGAAGGAAGGAAGGAAGGAAGGAAGGAAGGAAAGGAGGAAGGAAGACAGGAAGGAAGGGAGGAAGGAAGACAGAAAGGAAGGAAAGAAGGAAGGGAGGAAAGAAGGAAGGGAGGAAGGAAGGGAGGGAGGGAAGAAGGGAGGGAGGAAGGAAGGGAGGAAAAGGAGCTCCATTACTTATATAAGCAGCCCTGAGGCTGCAGGGGTAAGGTAGACATGAATTTCTATACCAAATGGAAAGAGAACTAATATCACAGACCCCTTAAGTGATAAGATGACTTTCTAAAAGGTTACCAAGATACAGCAATCTTGTGAATGCCTTTGCTTTCAAAATCAATTTTGGGAGAAAAGATGAAACTAAAAACAAAAATCAATCCACATTTATTAAGTGCCTACTATGTGCCCAGCACTGTGCTAAGGACTAGAAATACAAAATACAAAAAAGATAGTCCCTTTGAGTCTAGAACTGTCTAATGAGGGAAATAACATGCAAATTAATATATACATATAAGCTATATCTAAGATAAAAAGGAAATAATTAACTGATGGAAGGAAGACACTAGAATTAAGAGGGGTTGGGAAAGGCTTCCTGTATAAGACTGACTTTTGAAGAAAGCTAGGGAAAAGCTTTTACCTTTGAATTTGCCTTCCCACATACTCTATATTTATTTTGTATGTTCTGATTTATTTATGTTGATTCTCTCATTAGAATATAAGCTTTTTGAGAAAAGGGGTTTTTTTTTTGCATTTTCTTTGTACTCAGTGTACTTTGTAACACAGCTTCAAGTGCTTAATATATACTCGTTGATTGATTAGTGGTTTAAACATGTTAATATTCATTCTGGAAATGCAAAGGAGCTAAGGAAATGACCTTTACCTTTAAAACAGATCATCTAAAATTCTGCAGATAGTGACAGTAGATTCCTTTGATCAAATGAGTAAATATATCTCAAGTGTTTAGCACAGAATCAGGACCATAATAGGAGCTTAAGAAATGCCTGTTAACCCTGAGGAAACACAGTAAAGACCACACAAGATTTGGCAGTAAAGAATAGAAAGGTTGGAATATAATATTCTAGAAGGCGAAGAATCTAGGCTTATAATCAAGCATAACTTAGCCAGCACAAATGAGCATAACAAGGAAAGAATAAATTGTTAATTAAATAGAGGTTTTTCAAATATTCCTCATGAAAAGACCAGAGCTGCATAGTAACTTTAAACTACAAACACAGGAGAGAAATACAAAAAGGTAAATGTGAGTGAACAATCATCAACAATCATAACAGATTAAAACTATTTATATTCCAATATGGAGTAATTATTTATGGATCTCCTTAGAACTATTTCACCAACAAGAATCAAGGTGGGAATCTAGTAAGACAGAGGGTTTGGGAGTTGTTTTTGTTGTGTTTTGAAGATCTTATCAGAAGAATGGAAAGGGAAGGGGAAATAGTGGGGAAAACAAATGTGGGGAAAATTATCTTTAATTTACTCCTTTTGGATCTGGATGAACCAAAAATTGAAAAAAAACTTAATTATTTGAATTGAATTTTAAGAATGTGAGATATGACAGATCTCTGGAGGAAGACAGAGGTCAAGGCCTGGAGTCAGAAAGAACCTGGATCATAATAGGAGCCTAAGAAATGCCTGTTAACCCTATTCAAATCTGGCCTCAGACACTTACTACCTTTAGGACCCTGAGCAAGTCACTTAACTTCTTTTTGCCTCAGTTTTCTCGTCTGTAAAATGGGGTAAAATAGCATCTCCCTCATAGGGTTGTTGTGAAGATCAACTAAGATAAAAATTATAAAGCACTTATAACAGTTCCTGGCACATAGTTAAGTGCTACATAAATGTTAGCTATCATTACCATTATTATTTTTAATATTAATATTATTACCATTAGCATAGCATCAAAGGATCAGCATTTAATTGAATCTAAGTCCAGCATGCCAAAGTACCTCTCCTTTACTTAGTTTAGGATACACAGGAAGGGTGAGGGAGGGAGGAGAGGGAGAAAACTTAGAACTTAAAATTTAAAATGTTAAAAGTTTTTGTTTAAATGTAATTGAGAAAAAAATTATGTGTAAATAAATAAAATACAGCTATTTTGATTATCTTTACTATCATAATTTAGATGAAATATCTATAGTTTTAGCTGCCTTCTATGAACTCAAATATTGCAACGGGACACTTCTGAAACACTATATAGCTAAAATTCCAGTAAGCCTCAGAATTCTAAATGAATTTTGTTAGGCAGTTGGATAGCCTTCATTTTTTTTTTTTAAATCATGAAGGTATTGGTTTTGCTCCGGTGTTATTACATAGACAGAAGAATATTTTATTTGCATTATGTAAAGTATTCAGAGGCTCTTTGTGCTCTTCTAAATGTGGACGGACATGTAAAAGAGTAATACATGACGGGCAAGCATAGATAGATTGTGATCTCCATCAATGAAGGCAATATAGGCACTGATGAGATCACAGATGCATTAATATATTGGAGTAAAATAAAATATTTATCTATCTATATAGTAGCTCACCAAATACTTATAAGAACTGACTATTTTTTTTAAGACAGTGAGTGATCTATCACCAAACACCAAGGCATTCACAGCAAAGGGGTTAGAAAATGACTAATAAATCTTTAGATTTCCACAACACAGTGACCTAAAAAAGGTACAAGTATGAAGATAATGAAAATCATAAATGACTGATTCTAGAACATGAAAATCATGAACTCAAAGTACTATTTTAAATTCCTGAGGAAGCTATGCAATTAAAATTATTTATCTAAATTTATTTCTAAAATAAAAGCATAATATTCAATATCTATTCTAAAATAACCTTTTCCTAATATGCACAAAGTTAACAATATCATCAAGCAATGTATGAAGTGTAAACTTCATGGATTTTAAATTTAAATACTTCAATGGTTTTGCCTTAAGAAACTTGAATAAACACATTTACAAATGTTATCTACTAATACCAACTTATGGGCATAGAACCTTTTGTATTTTTCTATACTAATTAAAAATGAAAGTCCCATAGTCATGCCTGAATCTCTAATCTGAATTTATTTTTTACCTATGTGCTTGATTATTAAGGTTTAGCGATCCTGTCTGGTACATCTCCTCCAACTGCTTTCTGTTCCCAAAGTACAGAGCAAGGTCTGTGGCGATGATGGCTTTGCGGATGATCTCCAGCACCTGCTCATATTCACTGGAGCTCAGAGAGGAGAAGATATTGTGCCCTTCCAACTACGAAGAAATAAAAAAAAAAAAGAAGAGACCAATAAAAAGCACGAGTTCTAATCTTGTGATTGTTTCATTTATTTGGAACAAGAAAGCTAAAACCACTTTACATGCTAATGAAAATTCTTTGAAGAATAAAAGGACAATATGAGATGATTTTTTTTTCTTTAAGTTATAGTGATAATACTGCTACCATGGAAATGATAAGCAAGCTGCACATATGGTAAACACTAATCACAACACATAACTTAAACATGCTGTAATTTCTTTTAATTTGTTCATTTTTTGTCATTTTTTAAAGTCCAGCACAAGCAAATCAGAAGCACTATTTGGGCTCTGTTTTTCAAATCTCACAAATACCACACTCTATTATTTTCTATTTTACACAGAAAATTATAGACTTGCAAAGAACCTGGTCATCTAGTCCTTTCCCTAGCCTAATGGTATGATAGTTCTAAAATGACATCCACATGAAAAAATCTCTTTCTTCATTGTCTTAAGAAACACAGAATATTATATTCCACAATCTTCACTAGTTCCTCATTTCACTGTTTAACAGCCTCATTTTCAGGCAAGACTTTCCAACCTAAACACCTAGGGATGAAATTGACTTAAGGCTACTTCTCTTATTATATCCTAAGTGGAGATGAGAAACAGTTGTGTATCTTCATATATAGTAAAAGGCAATTAATTGAGATTCTAACAATTCAGAATTTATGATCATTAGAATTATGTACATGTGATTCTTTTGGGGAAAAAATTGAGATGCCTTTGCATTCTACCTTTGTCATACATAAAATGAAAAACAGTACTTTTAAGCCCTATTTCACAGGGCTACTGTAAGGATCACCTGAGATATTTCACACATACACACCTATCTATGTATCTAGGTCGTTAGAAATCTGTGTGAAATAGCTCATGTAATATATACATATATATATAAATATATATATGTACATATATATATATAATATGTGTGTGTATATGTGTATACATGTCTTTATAAACATTAAAGATATCTATGAATTTTAGCTATAACTACAGGCTTGTGAAATTAAGGTTCTCCCTCAATAGACTAATTCTCTGCTTCATGTAGTGTAAATATACTATGATTACACTTAACATCAGTTGTTCCGTCTATAGCATTCTACATTTAAACTTAATAAACTCCATTTCCTCAAATGTTATTATATAGTTGATATACTGCACTAAGATGGGCCTACCTAACATTATTGGAATTTTATGCAATCCTTGCTCACAATTTCACTGTGACATTTACTAAACAATCATAGTAAACTGGAACACATCAAGGGCCTCACGTTAAATACAAATATCTCACTCTCCTTTGGGATACCATCATAGTTGCTCTCTAAGTCTAGTGAAATAAAGACTCTGAAAAAGCTGGTGCTTCCCTTCAAAACATAAAATGACTACTGGAGTTTTTGTTTGCACTTATGTTTTCCGTACTTATATCAGAGCTGTCAAACACACAAGGGCTGGTCCACAAATACTCCTGAGTGTAGCCTGTACTAGAATAAAATGTAATTAGGAAATATTTAATAAAATAAATAGAAATAGAATCTAGGTAATGATAATATATGGTTTTCTAAGTCAACATGTACCCACAGGGATCCTCATGTAAGGTTTAGTGGCCTCAGTTTCTATTTGAGATTGACAACACTGACTTAGATTACTAAGGTCTTTCAAAGAGGCAGCAAACTCTGCACTAAGCATTTGAGTGTGATTTTTATGTCATATTAAGATCAGTGACCTCTGAGGTCCCTTCCAGATCAAAGTCACCGATCCTATGAAATACAATTCCAAAATTTTAAAGTATGTTAGTGAGAAAATATAATTTTAATATGAAATATTCCTATTTTATGATTTGCCAAACATAATTAGCATTGAGGTTTTATCATACCTGAAAAAATATTAGTAAGTATGCTATGACTACTTATCTTCTCTAAGCTAAATAAACTTAGTTCATTTAAATAAAAGGTTCTTAAATAAAAAAAAATAAGATTACAAAGGAAACCAAAAGTTATTGAAAACAAAGCAATTTTTTTTCCATCCCAGTTCAAGGACTCTCTGCAATCTATCCTTGGGTCCCCAGGTTAAGACCCTTTGATTTAAATGTTGATCAATTGTTTATCTCTGCACTCATGTTTGAGTTTTCCAAGTTCTATATATTTTTTATGATGGAACTAAAACTGGTCATTATTCAATTCAATTTAACAAACATTAATTAGAGTTCAAACATTGGGCTACGTGCTATTCTCTTAAAAAAAAGTCTGGCGTGGAGAATTATAAGTTTAATCTAAAATGCATTCATATTCTCATGCTCTACAAGAATACATGTTATCCTTTTTTGTTTGTTGATGGTCAGTTTAAGGTACACTCTGACAAGCCTCAATGCATGTGGTACGATTTGAGAGGCATGAAGAAGAATCCAAACCTCCCGCAAATTGGTTGTCGTAACATGATCCTCTTAAAAAATGCACACAGAGCTAAGAGGGATAAGAAGTTAAACTAATGTGCACTAAGCTGTGTGTGACTTATAAAATCTGCTTTATGTTGTACAGGGAAGAAAAAGTACTTCACAGGGTGGGGGGAGGGAAAGAATTGAGAAAAAGAAGGTGAACAGTAGCGAAGTCTAGCCTTGTCCACTTCATAATTTTGCCTTGGGTCACCCTAAACTCAAACTCCTTGGAAAGAGCTCACTGGACTAAACGTCAAGAGACCTGCTCTGGGGTCTTGGATCTGCCACTAATTCCCTTTGTGGCTTTTGCTGGACTGCTTTGCTTCCCTGAGCCTATTTCTTTGTCAGCAAAATGAGGGGTTTGAGCTAAATGACCTTGGGGGTCCCTTTCCACCATATGAGGGCGCAACCTCATATAATTTTAATTCTATATATTTTCATACTTATTAGTTTTGTGTCTCCTACTAATTTATAAGGTCTTTTAAGGACTAAGACATTTGTTTCTTTTATAGCTTCCCCACAATGCTATTTGCATAATAAGGTGCTTGACAAATGCTTGTTGATTATAATTAATTAGTGAAAACCATCATAACTGTATTCAGATCTCTTCACAGCTGCTGTAGGATAGGCAATAATGCTATATAGTTAGTTAAGACAAAGGAGACTGGAATGTTTATATTGTGAGGAGAAGAGTTTTCTCTTCAAATACTGGAAGTTTTTCATGCAGAAGAGGATGTGATTTGATTTCTATTTGGAACAAGAAAATAGAACCAGAAGCCTTCAAATCAAAATGGACTGAAGTTTCAGAAAAGCAAATTTAGGTTTGGTATTTCCCAAAAGTTTAATGGGTTATGTTCAGAGTCGCCATTTTAGGCCTTCAAGTGGAAACTAAATGATCATTGGTTAGTTAAGAGGGGACTCTTGTTCAGGTACAGGTTTGACTCAGTGGCCTCAAGGTTCCTTCTGAGTGGCCTCAAGGTTCCTTCTGAGTTCGATTTTGTGATCATGTGACTGATAATGCCAAGGGACAGACTTATCCCCTGTGAACTGGGCCACAGACAGAAAGAACAGTCAACATAAAAGGGTGAGAAGATAAGGAGGAGCCAGTGAAGGAGATAGAATGAACACTCAGAAGTGTAGGAGAATCTGGAGACTGTAGTTTCTTTAAATCCAAGGTAAAAGAGAATGCATTAAGAGGAAACTGTCATCACTATCAAATGCTGAAAACGAGTCAAGGAAGATGAGAACCTAAAATATGTGTTCGATTTTTTTTTAAGAAAAAGGTCCTGCGAAATCTTTCAAAAGAGTACTTTCAATAATACCAAAGCTCAGCTCTTTTTGGTGATTTTTAGTTGTGATGCTACTTAGGAGTTCAGGTACAGGAAGAGAGAAATCGCATGGTGGGGGTCATTCAGGAAGAATGGGTTGGTCAGGACTACATAGTATATTGTAAGTGAAGAAGCAAGGTATCCTAGGAGAGTACCTAGTGAAACATGGAAGGTGCAGACCCTTACACAAATTTTAGGTATGGAGCTACTTGAAGGCAGTTGGGGCAAAATGAACAGAAAGAAAACAGATGGATCAAAGAACCAGCAATGTGGTACAGTGGATAGAGTCCTGGCTCTGGAGTCAAATGGCCTGGGTTCAAATTCTGCCTCAATGCCTACTCCTTGTGTAATCTTGAACAAAATACGAATTTCCCTAAGCCTCAGGTTCCTCACTTGTAAAATGAAGGGGCTGTATTAAAGGCCTTTGAAGTCCCTTCTAGTTCTGTATTTACGAAGCTATAATCCTACAATGATGAATGGACTTAGGGTAAATAAAAAGAATGGGCAAACTGGAAAGCTATGAGGGTTGTCTTGGTGATTATAACTGCAAAGTTCGGGTTTAATTTTGAGAAATGATGAGATTTAAGATGTTACAGTGCTGCTGTCCACACCTGAAGCAACTATAAGTAAATTTATTGAGTATCATGTACAAAAATCAAAAAATGTCAAAATTAGAAAGACCCTCTGAGGTAACCCAACTTTTACCTGAACAAAATTCTTCCGACAGCATTTCCCAAACCAATCCTTCAACCTCTGCCTGAAAATCTGGAGTAGGGGCAAGGATCCCACCATCCTGCCAGAGCATGTTCTAGTTCTGAGTGGCTTTAATTGTCAGGAAGCTTTTCTTGATTGTGAAACTCCATCTGCTTAACTTTTACCCCGTTATTCCTCTCTTTGACTTCCCTTCAAATGCTTGACGAAAGCTAGCATATCTCTTTACTCAAAGCTAAACATCCCCTCTTCTTCAATATATGCCATGAACTTGAAGCTAAATGAAGAGTGTAGATCATGAATTAGACAGTGAGTATTTAAGTTGATCCTAGGGTATATTTGTATTTAGGCAGGAATCCACAAACCACTATTCTATGCTTCTCTTTCACCTGTCTTAGGGAGAAAATAAAAACTTACAGACTATGTGATTAGAAAACAAGTCAACATAGCACACTATAACGACAATTGGAAATGGAATCAAAAGACAT